ACCAACATGAAAGGATCCATACTGGAGAACGTCCTTATGAGTGCAAAATATGCAATCAAAGATTTTTACAGATAAGTCATTTGAGAGATCATTCAGTAGTACATACTGGAGAACGCGCTTATAATTGTAAAATTGCAATAAAACATTCTCAAACGCAGGTAATTGGAAAACACATTTTTTGGTGCATACTGAAGAACGCGCTTTTAAATTGTGAAATATTCAATAAAAATTCAAAACAAAGCCAACCTAAAACAACACAAAATAACCCATACCGGAGAACGACCTATGAATGTGAAATATGCAATAGAGCATTCTCAAGAAAATATTCATTAACACAACATAAAAGAGTACATGCTGTAGAAGGAAACAGTCAACAAAAACTTTTGAATTAGTCTTGTAATTGTTTAAGCTTATAATTCTTTCAAGTACTCAATTATACTGATATATATAAAATTGCAATTTATGTATTATATATTTCTGTTTGTTACTCATAATCAATGAATTGTATGTAATTGTTTTAATAATGTAAATATAAATGTTTAATTGATTATAAATTTAATATTGTATTTATTTTGTATTTACTACAGTCAAATAAATATTTTTCAAGTTTTTAGAGACTGAAATATTGTTGTCACATTGAAGGACTGATTCAGCTGCATAACAAAAAAATGTTATGGCAAGGCCATGTTCTGCTTTAACTGCATACATTATGCTACTGAATCATACTAATACTGTCAACATTCAATTCATTTGTTGCATTCAGGCGTTTTTCACACAAACTGCAATTCACTCGTATGTTATGAAGCTGGGTCAAACACCCTGTTATCTAACATCGGTTTTTTGACATTTGTGCGGTTTTTAAACTTCCCGTCTGTAGTTATAGTAATGGGCCGAAAATCGAAAATGAAATTTTTGCATTACTCGACGTTTTGAGGTTTTTGAACATTTTACTGCATACCTCGGAAAAAATGGATGTGAGTGTGTGTGTGAGTGTGCGTGTGTGCGTGTGTTTTAAATCGAATGGTTTAAAAACATTCGATTCCTATTAATAGGAAGATTTGCTGATTAGTTTTTTGCAAGGCAGGTCCAGCCGTTACGGAGATATGGAGCAACAGAGTGCAGAAAATAGAAATCGAGTTTTTGAGAGAACGGAGCATCCGATTTGTATGATCCAAAAAACATTCAGTTCGTAATGACGGGGTTATTAGTTTTTGGCAAAGGTAGGCCCGGCGGTTTCGGAGATACAGAGCTAAATGTGCAAAAAATTGCAGTTTTTGAGTGAACTAAGCGTCCGATTTAAATGATTCAAAGAACTTTCTGCTTGTTTCAACAACAAATAATTGCTTTTGGAAAAAAAATTGTTTCTCTAATTTTTTTTTTTCAAAAAATATTTTTTGTAATTTTGGATTAAAAATTCAAAAATCACCCATGCTAAGCACAGTCTAAGCGCCACTCTGGTACAAATGTTTACCCGAGTGCGTTTAGACTGTTTATGTACTGGAGCACTTTTTCAATTTTGTGAAAAACTATTGAAAAATGTGAAATGCCGCAAGCTAAGCACAGAATAAGTGAAAATTGTCGCACAAAATTACTTGCAAATGCGTTTAGACTGTGACTATGCGAGAGCACTTTTTCAATTTTGTGTAAATTAGGCAACTATTTTTTTTTTTAATTGGATTCAAAATGAAATGACGATTGTTCATGTTCTGGATATAATTGATTTATGATTTATGATTTACATTTGATTTGCTCAGATATAACAAGATAGCAAAATAATAAATAATAAAAGTTACAGTATTTTGTAATAATATATTTGAAAACGTTTAAAATTTATCGAATATTTTATTACGGTACGGGAAAGTTCCAGCAATTTGCCTTAAGGCACGATGCCATACACCACGAGTTGACATTTGTTTTTGTTTGTTATGTTTCTATTTCTAGTTCAAACCCACAAACCATTCAGAATTGTTATAATTTATTTTTGTTAATCAAGACTTTAATGTCTTATTTAAAAAATTGTTAGATATAGTTAAATTGAATATAAAACCAAACAAAAAAACGATTCAATATTTCAAACGTCGAAAAACATAAAATTAGCAAGTTCATATTCAAATTAATAAATTTAAAATACAAAACCGTTTAAAATAGAACCACTAGTGCCACACACATCGGCGAACTGTGGCAACAACACTTTTTTGACATTTATAAATTCCTACAATTATTTTCGAATGACATAAAAGGATTAAACAGCCTCGAAATGTCGCTGTTTGTAATTCAGCACACTGTAAAAGCCTCCAGTAAGTAATAAATAACATAAATCTATAATTAAAATTATTTAAGTCTCATATTTAAAATCCATATAACTGACTACTTAACCATATAGGTTATGTAATGAGTAACATATAACAAATTATCTTCTAAGTTCCTTTTTAATTTTTGGAAATCAGACAGGATGGATCGGAATTGCTTGTCTGCAGCAGGCCTCTTACAGTACAAAGCCCCAGAAAACCAATCTGGCTGCTATGAAAGAGGTACTGGTGGTCGGTCCAGTTTTTATGGTGTCGTTGCTACAGTTTTTGGGGCTACAGGCTTTACGGGACGATATGTTGGCAATAAACTGGGGAAAATTGGCACCCAGGTATAAAGGATTGATTTAAAAGGTTTAGATTGTAAGAGGTCTTTTTTTTTTTAAACATGAAACATACAGTTTTAAATTTAAATTATACTTTTCGATTAGAAATGAAATGCAAAGGATTTTATTTTGAAGAAAAGTTTATTTGGACAACACAAAATTCACAATGTAGTTGTACAATATAGTAGAGATATACAAGTGGCTTTTAATGCTTATAATATTTAAAATTTCAATATCCAAGTGTATAAATCAGTTTTTACTAGATTTTAGTATATCCCATCTAGTTTTTGCTAATGTCACCCAATTTTATTGTCCGAAACGAAATTAAAAGTTATTCCAAGAAAAGTAAAAAAATGTCCTAAAATCATATTGTGCAAATTATCAAAATACCAAAGTCTGCATTTCAACTGCGAATTATTCAAAATTTCAATATAAAAGTGTATATAACAGTGTTTACTAGATTTTAGTAAATTTTATCTAATATTAAGTAATCCCACCGAATTAAAATGTCTGGGAAGAAAATTAAAGTTATTTGAGAAAAGTAAAAAATGTCCCAAATCAATATATGGCAAATTATCAAAATACTGAAAGCCACATTTAACTGCAAATTACTCAAAATTTCAATATTCAAGTGTGAATTGTTTTTACTAGATTTTAGTAAATCACATCTAGTTTTTACTAATGCCACCAAATTAAAATGTCCGGGAAGAAAATTAAAAGTTATATGAGGAAAAGTAAAAAAATGTTCTAAATATATAATATTATCAAAATACCAAAGTTCGCATTTCAACTGCGAATTTTTCAAAATTTTAATATGCAAGTATATAAAGTGTAACAGATTTTTAGTAGATTTTATCTAGTATTTTATCTAGTTTTACAAATGCCAC